GATGATGGAAAGCAGCCCATGACATTCTCCCCCACCTGAGTTGGCGACGTCCTCGGAGCCTTACCTGCAGGATGATGATGATTGGTCAGGCTCTTGATGGTTGGGAGGTCTGTTCCCCTCGGTATTGTGAGGTGGCTTTCTGAATGATCTTCCATGTATTTTTTGAAATAGCCTGAGGCGGCTGACATGGAAGACTAGATGGATTTTTCACCAGGCTGGTGTGTTCCGCTGGTATGTGGATTTTTCGATGCGCCTTTCAATTGAAAAAGGCCCGATGTAACTTTGCAAAAGGCCCGATGTAGCTTTGCAAGGGAATTAACGTTTAAACTCTATGCATGATTAACAAAATAAATAATAAATTAATGTGTAGTTATAATTCATCATATAATAGGAGGATTATTTTTAAGGGTGAATGTCTGTCATTATTTCAATTTAAATATTTTCTTTTTATTAATTTTCTTAGAATGTATCTTTACCTCTTTGTACAAATTTAAATCTGAAATAATATTATATTGAAGGGTATTACAATCATTCACCTTTATAAGGTTATTTCGATCTTTTAAATTTTAGTTTGGGTCTTCATACTTATAATATAGTATGATATAAGAAAAAATATACATGTATTGAATTAAAGAGATGGCTGAATTAAATATACAACCGATCTTATACATACATACATTTGAGATAACAAACCAAATATATTCATGCATCTTACATCACTAAACAACCACTTTATTGTTCACATTTATTGATTAAATTATTCTGATAACTAAACTGATTAAATTATTCTGATAACTAAACTGATTAAATACACTCCCGAATACTAAATAATGTCATATGAAACAACTAACTAATACGAACACGTTTATTATACATATTACACTTGCTCAATATATATATACTAGTAAGGTATAGTCCGTGCAAAAGCACGGGCCCAACATAGACAATCATAAACTAAACTTCTAACAATTCTTGTACTCTGTTACTTTCTCAAACAACTTTAAAATTATGAAATCCAACAAATTCATTGTATCATCAAGAACAATGGAAAATAGTACTGAGAAAAAGAAAAAACTCCTTTAATATGTGATGAAATATCGTAGGAAATAATCAAAACTTAGATGTGTATTGAGGAGCCTTAACCAAAGTTACAACCTATCGCTCTAAAATGTGTGCTCAACTCCTATCCAAATCTGGAATGCAAGTCGCTTTACCGAAAGAGAAAAAAATTAATGCATTCATTATTCAGACAGTGGCACAATCCAATATAGCAATTCCCACGATTTTTGCATGCTCACCGCCATTTAAACATAAGAGGCACAATTCTCGTTCCTGCCTTCGCTATAGGGAATATTTTCAAAGCTTTTGCAGTTGCAGGTTTCACTCCCTACAACAGAGTTAACTTCATTAAAATATGCTACAGAGCAAAAACATAAAGAAATCAATAAGGATTTCCAGTAGCAGTGCAACTCACCGAAAAATGGGACCTTAGGCAACCTAAATCTTGGGAACCTCCACTTCCATACTCTCTTCAGCCAAGATCATAGTTGTCTTGTGCAGCAGACTAGTATTACTGAAAGTAGAATTTATTTAAGGAATACAGAAAATAAGCTTTGAAACATCTAGCACTTTAATGTTACATATTTTGATTTCTATAAAAGATACTTCTTTTTATAAGGTGAAACGTATAAAGGAACTCTTTCTCAATGTTAAATATCTTAAAAGAAAGGCACAATAGAAGATTATAATACCAATAGAGGTACCACTGCAGAATCAACAAATACAAAGAGCTTATCTAATGAAACAGTGAAGTGCTTTTTGGCCAATTCCCCCTTTAAAAGCTTGTTTACCAGGCAAATATTGGCGAAAGTACCCAACCATAATGTCATCATTGCCATGACAACTACCATATGAGTTGGGAATAGTTAAAATCACTTTGAGTTATTTCATAATAAGTTTCGACAAAAAGATAACAATTCATATAGGTGCCTCATACTATAAGATTCTTATAGGCATTTTCTGTGATAACATGCCCTTTTGAATAGCATACTTACTCTTACACCACAGTCATGTATAACAAATTATTACAATGCATTGCCTATCTATGCATTTAACAACTTAGTCATCTTATATTTGCAGAATGATTGTTTTTGGTGTATGTACTAATCAAATTTTTTCTTTCATTAATATAAAAATAAACCAAAGTACCGTATAGTCTAAAATTAAACATCATTTTGAAAGACAGCCAAATATCACCGCAAAATTCTTCCCTTAGCATTAAGAATCAAAAGTACACATGATCAAATACAATGCATTCACCTTTCAATGTGTTCTTCTTTTCCTTGGTAGACTGAATCAAACATTATCATCGCTGCGGCAATTTCAGAAGATCTGAGCTTCAAGATACGTACACCTACATTCGATTAAATATTTATATTGTCCTATCACAGGATTAATTAAACACTTAAAAGATTTTTGGACCAAATGTTGCTATAGAAATCGACTCAACATATCCCAAGACTCAATGTAAGGTGAGACATTTTATTATATGATACATAGTAAAGTTGCATCGCATAGATCATGAAACATGCATGTAGAAAGTAAATTGAGACAGATGCATCCTCCTTATCAACTTGTCAACTAGAGAAAAGCTAGTTGTTTGGGTCAGATCATCAAGCACCTTGGCTGCATCAGTGTGCCAAAGGAATCGAGTTACTCTAAAAATCAGAGTTTGTTCATCAATTATACAAAATTATACATCTAGGCATATATTCCAAGCAAGTCTACGTAGATATGCAAAAATTAATACGAAAAATATTATGGCTAAATTTTCTCTTTCACCTTTTAAATGCCAGATTAAGATTGAATAAGAGCAAAACTTTTTACAAAAAGAATTAGTTGCAGAGAAGATATAAAGATGCAAGTGAGAGAGAAAGGAAGAGTAATAGAAAGAACAGAGATTGAAGAAGAACCAGAAATAAAAGTGATGTTAAACTTAAACTTGTTCACAAATATAAAGCTGCTAAACACGTGGCCACTGGCCCATAATGAAAGTCAAATACCGAAATGCCCATGATAAACAATTATAATACCACATTTACCCTTGTTCGTATAGCTTTAACTCCCGTTTCTATATATTAGTAATATACATTATAAATATACACCGCTAAATTACAAACCGAATACGTTTCAGAATTATTGATACGGGTTTTTTCCATAGAAAAAGGGAATCTTGTGTTCCAATAGAAGCAGAAGTGATGTGGATTATTCAAGAATCGAAATCGATTTGCTTTATAAAAAGATGATATCAATGAATTTCTATGAAATAGTTTCACGGGAGTCAGTCAAAAACCTGAAAAAACATCTTCCACCAATACTTAGCCGCAAAACCAACCCAATCTTGTCCAAACACTCTTAAAACTTTAAAGCCTAATTAACTACAAAATAGAATCCCTCAAGAGGTGCTTAATGCCACTTCAAAAATGCCCATGTGCATTCTTTTATTATATATAAAAGAAGTGCAAAAAATGTAAGAAATCTGTCAGGATCTTACTAATGATCGTTGGCGAACTTCTTCATGTACAAAGCTTAGAGGCACACCTGCTTTGTTGATCTGCGACACTTCAAAAGTAAAACCAAAATAACTATTAAAAAATGTACAATGAGTAATACGAAAATGTGAAAACTAAGACACTACAATATTATTATAACTTTAATGAATAGCAAAGATAAATAAATGTGTTATGACAAGTGTTGACTAGAGTGTTGCGTGGAGAGACCATTTTAAGACGACAGTTAGTTGTCCATCGTATGCTTTCCCGGGCTTTTTGCTATAGGTGAAAATTCAACCACATATATTCTACTAAAACAGACCAAGAACAACATGTGTTATTTATTATTCTTTCCCTTGTTTTCACTAACCCCTTTCATCAGGAAAATAAGAAACCCTTCACTCATTCATCACCATCATTGGCTTCTCATTTTATACCAAAAAAGAAAAGGAGGGGTTTTCTTCATTTTCCGTTTCTCACATTCCTTGAGGAGAAAGAACATATGTACAAAAAAGTCTATCTTCATGCAGTTCACGAATATTACTACGTCTTCTTGCAACATTGTTGGGGGTATACAAACTAGTTTTCATAGTTAGGGGCAGGGACAGAGCGTCATGGTTCAAAGGGATTTAATTAATCCCCTTCAACGAAAAATTATATTGTACAAATAGGGTGAAAAGAATTTTTATATCCTCTTGATATAGGGGAAGTTTATACAGTAACATTAATGGTTGTTAAAAGTTGCTTAAGGTTTCAGGTTCAGATCTTTGGTGTGGATTCTTATATTGTTTCTTAATCCCCTGGTTATATAGATACCCTCTGATTCGGGAATTGGCACAAAATGGTTAACGAAGAAAATAAGATTCAGAAGTCGAGGTCTTTCAATTTTAGGAAGATATTTGAGATTCCAAGTAGATTGGCACAGAGCATTGGGGGGGAGAGTGATAGTGATGAAGAGGACATGGATAACAACATTGGAAACGTCCAATTTATTAGCCAAGGCGGAACAACGTCTGTACCTTTAGAAAATCATCAGATGGATAATGAACCTGTTTCAAGCTTAACCCAGGATGCAGCTAAGGCAGGAAATACCCAAAAAGATAAAGAACCTACAGGTATTATTCTTGACATTGATAGATAATTATATAATTGTGCTGTATGTATGCACAATTTGAACCGTATTAATGTGTCATGACACATTAATTTGATGTAAATGTTATGGATTCAGACATGGAGTTGATGAAAGAAAGATTTGCAAAGCTGCTTTTAGGGGAGGATATGTCAGGAGGAGGAAAAGGTGTTTCATCAGCTCTGGCTTTATCAAACGCCATTACCAATCTAGCTGGTAACTCTCAAATAATGCCCTGGTCTTCGACGTCCATGTATAGTTCTGCTATGCAATTGTTAATCAATGTTCGATTTATGTTCTTTCCTTGTATTCTTCAAGGGAGAAAAAAAAATGTTTCTGACATCTGTTTGTAACATGTTATAGCTTCTGTTTTTGGAGAACAATCGAAATTGGAGCCTATGTCTCAAAAGAGAAAAGAGAGGTGGAGAAAAGAAATCGACTGGCTATTATCTGTGACAGATTACATTGTTGAGTTTATCCCCGCGCAACAAAAATCAAAAGATGGAACAAACATGGAGGTACTATTTCAGTCTCGTCCTCCTTACATTTCTGCTTCAAGATTTAAAGTAAGAAATGTAATCCCTGTTTTGACAGATAATGGTTACTCAACAAAGAAGAGATCTGCTCATGAACATCCCTGCTCTGAAGAAGCTTGATGCAATGCTCATTGTGAGAAACCTGAAGTGCACTCTATTACTTACTTAAATTGTATCAACTTCCCCAATAACTGAATCAACATTTACAGGACTGCTTAGATAACTTCAAAGATGCAAAAGAATTCTGGTATGTCTCGAGAGATGCTGAAGAATCTGAGAAAGGTGTCCAGAGGACTGATAAATGGTGGCTACCTACAATCAAGGTTCCACCTGAGGGACTCTCAGATGCTTCCCGGAGATGGCTACAATATCAGAAGGATTGTGTGAACCAAGTACTCAAAGCATCCATGGCGATTAACGCTCAAATACTAGCAGAAATGGAAGTCCCTGAAAACTACATTGAATCTCTCCCCAAGGTGAGAAGCACAAGTACACACTCACAAGTTAGATTTTAACATACTGCTTCTTTCTGACTCCTGCTCTTCTACTGCTAGAATGGTAGATCAAGTCTTGGTGATTCAATCTACAAGAACATCACGGTCGAATTCTTTGATCCAGAACTATTCCTTTCAACCATGGATATGTCATCAGAACACAAAGTTCTTGACCTTAAAAACAGAATTGAAGCATCTATTGTGATTTGGAAGAGGAAGATGCACCAAAAAGATGGAAAATCTTCCTGGGTTCCAGCTGTGAGTTTGGAGAAGAGGGAGCTCTTTGAAGAGAGAGCAGAGACTATCTTACTCCTGCTAAAACACAGATTTCCTGGAATTCCTCAATCTTCCCTCGAGATCAGTAAAATCCAATATAACAGAGTAAGAACTATCCTGCTGGCTCTCTACACAACTGATATATTCATTGAACAAATTATCAACTGTTTCACCTGCAGGATGTGGGACATGCTGTTCTGGAGAGCTACTCAAGGGTGCTAGAAAGCCTAGCCAACACAGTTATGTCGCGTATTGAGGATGTCCTATACGCAGATTCTGTCACACAAGATCCATCACTTGCGATAGCAAAGTGGAACCCTTCAGCTGAATCTTCACCTCAGCAACCACTAAGTGGAATGTCAACTCCCAGGGGAGAGTCAGAGATGTTAAGTTCTGCAGCAGAAACACCAACCTCAATGACCTTGTCCGATTTCATGGGGTGGAATATGGAGCAGGGAGAGGGAGACATAAGAATCAGGAAACTTTTTGCCCAAGATGATAATGAAAAATCCATGCAACGATAAGTTCTCTTACATTGAAAGTGGCCTAACAAGTCCCTACTGCTCGGCATTAAACACTAAAGTGATCAAAGTCTGATTCATATAGTAGAGAACCAGATCAGTGTCTAATTTCTCTTACCAGTGTATGCAAGACTGTAACTGCTCTTCTTCTGAAGCGAATAGGTAATTTCAAGATGTAATCCATTTTTTGGTTAGATGTTCTTTTCCTTTTAATAGCATTCTTGGCTTTTTGCTTTTGGAAAGTGTTCCTCACGAATTACTCCATGTCCATCTCAAAGCATAAGTCAGTGCAGGGTTTGAAGTATAAACTTTGATGCTAAGCACTCAGGAGAAGTGACTCCTTCCATCGAGCAACCTAGGTTTTTTTTAATCTTTTTTCTTTTCTATTTTCCTTTTCAAGTTCATGTCAGTTTCTGTAGATGTGCAATACATGAAGAACATCTGTTGATGTGCAATATTGCTAATTCATCCATGATACTTAAAATGTTACTGCACATAAGTAAAATTCCCAAGAAATTTACGAATTCATAACATTCAGCCTAACTTAATAATTTGACAGAAGGTGATTTGCATTCATCAAATCCCTTTATAATGGGATTTCAAAATCTGACATCCAAATACTATGTCTATATAGTCATACAAGTTTTTATTTAACATCAAAGGACAAGGAAGCGATCAAGGAAAAACAGACTTAGTTTCTCAATAAGACCGCTCTCGAATGCAACTGAACTCATTTAGGCCGCTTTGGTAACAGCAGCATGTATGGCATCGGCAAGATGAGGAATTGTGCGAGAACTAAGGCCTGCCATGCTAATTCTCCTGCAAATGAGAAAGGAGAAAATCATTCCTTCTAAAAATGGAAAGTAGAAAATGTCACTAGAGATGATGATCTTTTTAACCAAAATCTTAACTTCAACAAAGAGATGTTTCAACTGATACCAGATTACTAAATGTGCCATAGATTGAAGGTAAGTTCTTTTGAGAATCAATATAATTTGGGAGGGGGGAAAAACAGAACTGCACTTTCTTCTGTAAATTTTAAGTATGAATGACAGAGCTGGACTTGTTTATGCTTCCTCTCAAAACTGAAGCTATAAGTCTGAAATTCTCCTTATTAAAGAATTCAAGCCGAAATAATCAATGATAAGGGCTTCTAAGTTCCAATTATTTAAGTTTCTACTGAGAAAAAAGCAACCCAAAGTAACAAACTAAACAAATAAAAAAAAATATCAACAGTCAGATGTCCTTACCCATCAGATGTCATGTAAATGTGATGCTCTCTAGTCATGAATGAAACTTGCTCAGTATTCAATCCTGTGAAAGTAAACATGCCAATTTGTTTGATGATATGACTCCAATCACCTGCTGTACCTGCATAACAGAATAAAACTTACATTAGCACTAAACTGAACAATGAAG